TATAGCATGGTGACTGGAGTTAATAATACTGTACTGCATATTTGAAAATAGGTAGGCGGGACGCCTGGGTGGCGCAGTCGGTTAAGCGTCTAACTTCAGCCAGGTCACGATCTCGCAGTCCGTGAGTTCGAGCCCCGCGTCAGGCTCTGGGCTGATGGCTTAGAGCCTGGAGCCTGTTTCCGATTCTGTGTCTCCCTCTCTCTCTGCCCCTCCCCCGTTCATGCTCTGTCTCTCTCTGTCCCAAAAATAAATAAACGTTGAAAAAAAGAAAAAAAAAAAAAAAACTGTTTTTTTTAAAAAAAAAAAAAAATGAAAATAAGTAGGAAAGCAGATCTTGAAAGTTCTCACCACAAGGAAAAGAACTTTTCTATGTATGGTGACATATTTGAACCAGACTTACTAAGGTGATCATTTTATAATGCATACAAATACCGAATCATTACAGTGTATCCCTGAAATACAGCGTTATATCAATTACTCCTCAATAAAAATACAAATACAAGTAAATAAATAAATCATCCATTAAAAATGCTGAATGGATGCATTAAACCACACTGACTTAAATCCTCTCAACCCTCTCTAATTCATCAGGAAAATTTGCCAGAAAAATTTAGCTAAATTCCCAATTAAATGCACCCTCCAACATATTTCCCCAGGGCAAATAAGCTAAAGATTCCAGACCATGGATAAGGTAATAAAAAGGAGGAAGGCTTAAATGTGACAAACTCTTCCTATTTCATTTTATTAGTTTACTAAAATTGTTAGTATAAAAATGCTTGTATGGGGATGCCTGGGTGGCTCAGTTGGTTAAACTCTCAACTCTTGATTTCCACTCAGGTCATCATCTCACAGTGAGTTTAAGCCTCTCATCAGGCTCAGTGCCGACTGTACAGAGCCTGCTTGAGAGTCTCTCTCTGCGCCCCCCCCAAAAAAATTATGCTTTCTCTCTCAAAATAAATAAAATAAACTTAAAGAAAAAGATGCTAGTATGACTGGTAGCAGTTACAGTAAAAATTTCTTAATCCCCAACTATTTGAGAACACTAATACATTTGTCTTAAAATCTTTACTGGTTTTACATATCATCCATAGTATTGTAAGACAAATCACTTTCTCAATTTCTTACATCAAATAGATGTAAAGTTTATACCTCATTGTCATATTTTAACTGCTTCAAACACCTACATATTAATGTATTCAGTATACTTACCAAAGTTTATGTAAATCTTCATTACTTTTATTCCTTAATTGCTGACAGGTCCATGAAGCTCCTATTAAAATTATGAAATTCAGACACACACAGAAAAATTTATGAAATTCACAACATGAAATAATTTTCTAGCTATGTGCCTTGTGGCAGATTATTCAACTTCTCTAAACCTGTTTCCTTATCTGTAAAATATAATAGTTTTATCATATCATAGTATAATACACAATTAGGACTAAACTGGCATTAAATTAGGTAACACATAAAATATTAGTAATGCTACTGGCAATAGCATTAAAAAAATGTTAGTACTAAAAAAGAATGTGTTTCCACAGTTTAATACCAAAATATTTCATATCATTATAAACATGTAATTATCTCTAAAAAATGAAATCTAAACCAAATCTCTGACCTCACTTCAGTTAACAATTTCAATTTACTCCTCTTCTTTTTTTTTTTAATTTTTTTTTCAACGTTTATTTATTTTTGGGACAGAGAGAGACAGAGCATGAACGGGGGAAGGGCAGAGAGAGAGGGAGACACAGAATCGGAAACAGGCTCCAGGCTCTGAGCCATCAGCCCAGAGCCTGATGCGGGGCTCGAACTCACGGACGACCGCGAGATCGTGACCTGGCTGAAGTCGGATGCTCAACCGACTGCGCCACCCGGGCGCCCCAATTTACTCCTCTTCTAAGCCTTTTGTCAACCTGCCAATCAACAATTAACTGTACTATTACATTGACCTTTTAATTTTCTCTCACATTCCCAAAAGAAATTAAAAAAGGAAACACCTAAATGATCCCCAAGGTAGATAAATAATCCCAAAGTAATGGAGGATTTAATAAATATATTTAATATCAGTCAACCCAAATATCTTACCAGATTTCACTTTTTCTTCCCCCCAATTCTTTGGGTCATCAAAAAATTCTTCCAGTCCTTTTCTTGACAATGTGGTATGAAGTAATCTACACTGGTGAAAAGATGTGACATTTGGTATATTCTTAGGCAAAAGACTAAGAGAAAACCTGCAACTGAACATATATAAACAAGTGATCAGAGTTTTGCAACATTTGGATTTTACAAGCAATAATTGGAATCACTTCCTCATCTACAATGTTAAAAAAAAATTACTCAGGGTTTCTGCACAAAGAACAAACTTATAAAATGCTTTAGAAATAATTTTCAATATTGCATTATAGATGCTGCTACCCTTTAATTTCAGAGGTTAATATATTCACAGAATTTTGGAGACAGTATCTTGATACAATTATACTTAAGGTAACACTTTTAGGCTTTTCATACCTGGCTAGTGGTTACATAAGCAGATAAAAACATTCTGAAGATTAATTTTGCAACATGTATCACAAGCCTCAATGCTTCCCCCCCTTCAACCCAAAATTCATCTAGAAATTTCAACTAAAAATATGAGAATTAATAAAAATATCTATTAAAGCATTATATGTGATATCCAAAAGTTGGTAATAATGTAAATATGCAACCAGGAAATGGTTACAAAATTACTGTGCATTTGTATAATAATTTATTATGCAGTAATTTAAAAATCATGTGTTTAAAGAATATTTAATAAGCTGGTGAAATAATGTAAAACTCAATAGCAAAGTGTATCACAAGTGTTGTATTCCTACCAAAAAAATTTAACTTGAATCTAACCATGAGGACACAGACAAATCTAAATGGAAGGATAATCTGAAAAGGCTGATCTGCTCAAAAATGTTCTGGATTAAAGATGACTAACAAGACATGACAACCAACGACAGTAATGAATGATCGTTGGTTGGACCCTGGATAAAAATTTAAGAAAAAATTTGGACTGTATGCTACGTAAAAGCACGGCGACAGTAGTATATTAAATACTTCAGCGTGATCATTGTAGTATTGTAGTTATAAAGACAGTGTTCTCGTTCTTAGGAGACATATACTGAAGTGTCACAATGCCTCAAATAGCTCAGAAAAAAATACACATAGGCATAGATATAAAGATACATAAAAATGTGACAAAATGCTAAGGTTTGCTTAATATAGATGAAGAGTGGTTATTCTTTGTAGTACTCTTACAATTTTTCTGTTGGTTTGAAATTTTTAAATATAAAAAATTGGGGAAACAGGGTAGAGCACCAAGATGCATACATCTAAATATGATTCTGGCTTTAAAATTACATGTATGTGGGGGCACCTGGGTGGTTCAGTCAGTTAAGTGTCTGACTCTTGATTTCAGCTCAGGTCATGATCTCATGGTTTGTGAGTTCAATCCCTGAGTCAAGCTCTGCTCTGACAGCTCAGAGCCTGCTTGGGATTCTCCCTCTTCTCTGTCTCCCACTGCTCCTCCCACCCGCACACCTGCTCTCTCTCTCTCTCTCAAAAATAAATAAACTTAGAAGAATTACATGTATATGTATATATAAAAAGGAATGTAAGGAAATCTTTGAGTGGCAAAAATTATAGTTGATTATTATTTTCTTCAAAACACTTGCCTTATTTTCCATTTGCCTTATTGTCTGCAAATGAAGCAATATTCATTTTGATAATAAAAATCTAAAATTTATTTTATTTACAATTTTTTTTAACGTTTAGTTCTGAGACAGAGCATGAGCAGGTGAAGAGCAGAAACAGAGAGAGACACAGAATCTGAAGCAGGCTCCAGGCTCTGAGCTGCCAGCACAGAACCCGACTCAGGGCTTGAACTCACTGACTGTGAGATCATGACCTGAGCTGAAGTCAGATGCTTAACCCACTGAGCCACCCAGGTGCCCCTCTAAAATTTATTTTTAAGAAAAAATGACAGTGAATTACAGACAATTGATCCAAGTTTGTCACCTTTATCAAGTTACAACCTGTGAATCTCTGAAAAATGAAAAAAATATTGCTTATCTCTAAAGTAAGTGCAAGTAATATATAGCACATAATAGATGCTCAACAATTGTGCTGGATTCAAGGACACATACATTACTTCCTTTAAAAAAAATCCGACATACCCAATGATTTATAAAATCCAACTCATTAGAGACAAAATCCAATAAAAGGGAGGAAACCATATACCATAAACTTGTCAGTTTGTCCAGAAGACAGGTTGTCTTTCCAGAAATAATAAACACCATATGTAGGATGTTCCTTTCTCACACCAGCAGAGCTACTTTCCGTTCTTTTGACTACTTTCACTTATTCACTCCACATTTACTGAAAAAATCTTTCTGATATATTCTGGAGATACAAAAGCGCCTTGGTTTTTATCCATCCAAACTTGACATAATCTTCAGTTCCATAACCAAATCCTCTTCAGTGCAGTTTTTCCCAACTCACCCATCCAAAGAGGATGCTTCTGTACCTCTAGGTTTAATTCAACAAATACTGGTTATCTACAGACCCCATGGACTGTCTGGTCCGCACTAGGCGGCAAGAAAAAGTTTGAGAAAAGACCGGAAATGTCGGAGGTGGACGACTTCTCTAAGGGCATTCCCTTCTCACGCAGGTGAGTTCGGGTTCGGTTATGCGCGCGGCCTCTCAGCTGTTTTCCAGCATCTCGGCAACCAAACAAGATCCAAAGTCGGAGAGGAGAACAAACCTACTCCTCACATCACTTACCCTGTGCTAGGTGGGGCCTGAAGACTTATTAGCGACTTAGAAGCTTTCAGCCCGGTTAAGACTTTTCTGCAAACACTGCCCAAACTGGCCGCAGCCATGTCTCCGCAGAAAGTAAGGATACCGCGGTTTCTCCACAATGATGTCACTTCCTGTGTCTCAGGCCGACCGGATGGAGAAAACAGAAATAGGCTTTGCCCTCACTCAAGATGGCCACTTTCCGCCTTCGCTCTCGTTGGTAAATTGGCTCTTTCGGCTCCTGTTACTCGCCCCAGCTTTTCAATTGCCCGTAGTAGCCATGGCGGCCATGAGTCTATTGCAGCGGGCCTCGGTCACTGCAGTGGCCGCTCTGTCCGGCCGCCGGCTTGGCGCTCGACTTGGATTCGGGGGCTTCCTCACCCGTGGCTTTCCGAAGACTGTCGGTGGGTGCTAGCTTTGGGAAAAGCGCGCTCAGGGGATGTGGGATGAGAGATGAAGAGCTCCTCCGGAGTGACCTTGGTGGGATCTGGAAGGAGCTGGGAGAAATTGCGGGCTTGGGGCTTGAGAGGAGAGATGGAGCGTGGGCTTTGTGAGGAGGTCGAGGGTTTTCCTGAGGTAATCAGATCGATCGTGTTTAAATCATTAATTAGCATTTGTCAAACACTTTACCACTCAGCCATCCCAGTTGGTGCTAATTTGCGGATGAAGTTGAGGTTAAAAAGGCACAGACCAGAGACCTAGGTGTCTCAGGCACCGGATTCTCTCTGTACATTCCACCCTAGGTTCTAGTCCCACAAGGTTGTAAGTCATGTTGCCCAGGAGCTCACTGATGTTAGTAGGCAGGTGGAGAGGCTCAGTGTTAACTCCTTCAGTAGGCACAGTGCCTACACCATACTTTCAGGGGTCCCTGCAAATGTTTTCCCTTTCTTTTAAAACCAGGAGGAAGAAAAAAAAAAAAAAAAAAACAAAACCTGTAATGTTAATGAATGTGTGGTAAGGAATCCAGCCTGGATTGTATTCGTTTTATATCAACGGAGTCATAAAATAGTAATTTTTAATATCTTCTTACAGTGGAAGGGGCCCATGAAGGAAAAATCCCTAGGTCCAGGAAAGTCATAATGCAGTCATGCCAGGGTTATTTGAAGCTTCTTGGAGACTGTATTGACTTCTAGGAGAGTGAATAATTATAATAGCAAAGTCTCAGATGCATTGTATTCAATCTAATTCTTTCAAAGACTCTGCGAATTAAGTACAATGTTACTATCCCCATTTTACTAATGTAGGGACTGTGACTCCGTTATTACAAAAATAATGCACTAGAGCACCAAATGTAATATTTATTGAACACCTATGTGCCATGTACCATCCTAAGATCTTAAAGATATTAATTCATTTAATCCTCTTGATCAAAAATATACTATAAGCTGTCTGCCCTGTGCAATACAAGAAGGTGGAGAGGAAGTGTACTTGAAAGCCAAAAAGATCTCCAACCTCAAAATATCTTTCTCTACCCCTTTTTTCTTCTCCCAATTTAATTTGAATTATGTCACTTCACATAGAGACTTGTCACAAAAATGATGGAAACAACTAGTGGAATTCAAGGATTTCCAGCAGGAATTTGAACCTGTTTAAAAAAAAAAAAAAAAACTACATGTGCTAACATTTCTTGATAAAATCCCTTTGTAAGCCATTTCTGATTACAAATATCCTCCTCTTCGAATACTCCCCGGAGATAGTATTTATTCATGTCTTGCTGGAGATAAACTCAGGTGAAAACCTCACTCCCAGATCCCTTTTATATGTTATTCCCCCTTTCTTGGAGTTCTGGAAGGATCAATACCAATAATCTATACCCTTTCCACTGAGACCAGGGAAGGATCTGATAGCTATATTAGAGTCTGTGTTTCAGCCTGATTCCTGCTTTCAAAGGTATTTTGCAGGTGGTTTCATCTGTCACTGTGGAATGAAAGGTTTTAATCTGTTATGTTATTGCTTATGTCTGCCCCTATGAGACTGTAAGACCCAGGAGCAGAAAACCTTGTTTTGTTTTCTCTGGAGCTAGACTGCCTACATTCAAATCCTGGCTCCAGAGTTAGTAGCTATGTGACCTTGGGTCATCATATCTTGGAAGCTAAATGGAAAGTACTTAATTGCTTGGAACCTGTGTTTCTTTATCTTTAAAAAAGAAGATGTTTATTACAAGTGTGCTTATATTCTGTTGATAGGGAAATAAATCTGATGTCTTTACTATTGACAAGTATTTATAATCCTGAAATATATTTCTGCATAGGTTAGCATCTTTCTAGAATGTCATTTTGAAAGGTGCTTGTCTCTTACCATAAGAACTGTTAGAAAAAAAAAAAAAAGAGGATGATAATTTTAACCTGCCTCATAAGGTAGTTGTGAAGAGTGAGTGGGAAAATCGACAGCACCTAGATTTAGAAGCATTGGTTTACTAACAGGCCCTGTGGCCACCCCTTTCTTATACATGTAGTACTGACATGTTATCTTCATTCACCGTCCTTGAAAACTTTCCTCAGGAAATAAGCAGATACAAGTGTTCTATTTAAATTGTTTATTAAGTGTCTAATATCAAGGAATTATAGAAATGAGTTTAAGTTCTTTCCTCAGCTGCAGTAGCTTTAATATGAAGACTGATGTGTGCACATTATGGTTTAAAAAAACTGAGAAGAAATATTTAAATGATTACATAAACAAAGTGATATGGAGTTAATTCAGATGTAGAAGATGGGGCATTTTAAGTGGATTCTGGATAGTTTTAACAGCTGCAATTGGCAGAAGAATAGAGGATGTATTTTCTGATATATCTGAATATTGGGGGGTCTTGAGATAGGTAGATGTTGAAAGAAAAGGCTTAAGAGGGAACTTGGGACCAAGTTGGGGGAGTGGAGGACTGAATACAAAACCAAAGTATCTTAACTGTTTTGTAGGCTGCAGAGTGTTTTAGCAGGAGACCAAATCAGTAGTGTGTTTTGGGAAGATGCTTCTGAATTTGGATGGCTTATAAGGGGGTGTTGGTTACTTAAGCCAGTGAGGTAAAGAAGGCAGGAAAGAAAAGTTGAATCTTAGAATCAAGAGGCCTTGACAATTGATGAATGAGGGGTAGGTGCAAGGAAGATGAATGAGTTTTTTAGCCTGGGTAATTGGGCTGGTGGAGTCATTAACTGGGAATAGTCTGAGAATGAAGGAAAGAAAATGGCTAGTTTTTGATTGTTGTCTTAGAGACACAAAACCTACGTTATCTTATTTGATCTTCACAAATATCACAGTTGTCAAAAACCATGTAAGCAGTATTCACCCTAATATTTTTAGATTGTAAGCAGGTGGCCTGACTATATCAACAACAAATCATGAAGGCTCAGAATGTTTGAGAAGAGTTTAGTGCTATGAAATATACTTTAGAACAGTTAATAATAATAATAACAGTAATAAAATAATAATAGTTATTTAGCACATTTAATGACATGAATAACTTGTTTAACAGTAAAGGTAATTATATTGAAAGCAAGCAAGCAGTTCACTTTACTAACTGCATTAATATTGCTAGAATACAGCCAGACCAAGCATTCTTCCATAGTTTTTTTATGTTACATTTTTTTTATCTGTTAATGGTGTTATGCATAATCAGTTGTCCCTAAAACCAGGTAGTTTAATCCATGTCTTTCTCTCTGGGTAGTGTGTGTGTGTTTGCCTGCCTGCCCAGTTGAAAGGGAAAGTTGGGAGTACACTGTCTCTTCTGAGTAGATTTACTTTCAGAGAGTGAGGAAGGATCCCAACTGACATTTAATTTACTTAAGAAATGTAAATTCCAGCGTATTTATGGAGCATCCACTATGTGGCAGACACTAAAAGGTACTGGGGATACAGTACTGAATAATGCAGTCCTTGACCTCATGGACTTCAACAAAATAATCAGGCTTAGTGTGTATTGCTCTAAAAGAACTAACCAAATGATATCACGGAAGATAAGTAGGAGGCCAGCTTTGGAGAGGGTAGTCAGAGAAGACCTCTTCGAGGAGGTTACATTTGAACTTGGTCCTGAAGGATGGAGGTGCGGCGGTAACTGTTCAAAGAGCCTGGGGAAAAGCTTTTCGGCAAAGAGTGCAAAAACTTGAAGTCTAGAAAGAGTTCTTGGAGTTAGAAGGAAATCATTGAGACTGATAAGTTGGAAAGGTATGCCTTTTTGTTGTAAGACAGGCCATGTGTTCTGATTCTTTGAGGAAAAGGACCTTAGATATCCTCTAGGCCAACCTGTAGAATATCCTTTTTACGTCCCACGGTTGACACTTGAATAACTCCAAAAAGGGGACTGGAGAGGCAGTCCAATTTTATTTTGAACCACTAAAATGGTTAGAAACTTCTTCCTTGTATTAAGCTGAAAATTACTCCTGGTTCCTCCTTTCAGGTCAGCACAGAATAGTGTGACCCCTTGTTATGGGATAGCCCTTCACCTATTTAAAGACACTTCTCTGCTTTCTACCCGGACTTCTTTTTTGTAGGCCAAACAATCAGTTGCATTTCTTTAAGCTTCAGTATATCAGTTTCCAGGTTGTTTGCCATACTGGTTGCTTAAGTTGGGGTATGCTCCAGATTGTTCCTCTAAAACAGTATACTCTGGGATGGACACACTTCTGCAGGTGTAATTAGGAGATGGAGGTGGGTGTTCCTCCTGTTTTGACCCTACACTTCTCGTACATAAGATTAGGATTGAATTGTCTTTGACTTTCTTGGTTACCATATCACACCAATGACTCTGCTTAAGTCTGTGAGCAACTTTTGGGAGGTCCAGTCAGGACTTTCCACTTCTTATGTTTAATCCTTTTAGATTTATCCTTTTATAAATGTGTGTGAGGACTTTTGGGGATCCTATTTCATCATCAGTGTAGTAGCCATCCTTGTAGCAGTAGCTTTGTGTCATCAGGAATGCCATTTTCACCTCATCCAGGCCATTTGTAGAAATCTCAACTTCTCAGAGCTTTGGATGGAGCCTTTTGGCAGGTTGTTGGATTAAGTAATCAGCACCTTTTGGGTATAATCGATCAGTTACCCATTATAAATTCATCTAATTTGCTACTTCTCTCACCTTTTAATGCCCCTTCCTCATACCCCCCATCTCCACCATCCTGTCTATACAGGAACCTTACTTCTGGGCCTGGTTTTTTCTGACATTGCATCCTGTTTCTTTCCTTTGTTGGAAAGAATAGTCTAGCACAGGGCCTACACATAGTAGAATAGAATTAATGAGTGGTTTGTACTATTAACCAGCTCTTTTTTTTGCATCTAGTCCACAAAGAATTCCAATGTACCTTTCAAATGATTTTCTGAAATATATAATCACTTTGCCACATTCTCTTGCTATTTTAGAAACTTTAGTAGTGTGAATTGTACACAGTAAATGCATGCCAGCTTCGAATTCTCTTGTGAATTAACTTTCTAAATTCATTGCAAGTTACTATAGGTGATACCAAAATTAAGAATATAGTTCCTACCTTCAAGACATTTATATTTCAGTGGAAGCGGTGAAAGCAAGTATGCATATCACTAGAATATACAACAGTTCAGAAGTAGGAGACATCTCATGTGATTGGGAATAATGTTGGTTTTTGGAGGTTAAAATGTCATCTGGGCCTAATAATATCAGGAGAGGGAAAGGCATTCCAGACATTTAAGGTTGAACAAAGGATACAAATCTTTATGACCTCTATTATAACTAAAATGACTTTAATGGGGAATTAGTTTTGTATTCTGCAGTGACTCCCATGGGAAATTTTTTTGAATACACTTTCATACAGCAGAAACCATAATCTCAGTTTCCCAGTAACAGTGAGATCCTTTCCTGCTTTCAGCACAAGGGCTTAGAGTGCCTGCAGTGATCCTTCCAGGCATCCAAGAAAGGGAAATCATGTAGAAATAAGCTTAGGGGTGAAATTTTGCCTCAGTTTATCTCCAGTGAGGCTTGACTGCATACTGTCCAAGGGAGAATTTGAAAAGGAGAATATTCACAACCAGAAATGGCTTACAAGGGTGCCTGGGTGACTCAGTCAGTTCAGCGTCCGACTCTTGATTTCAGCTCAGGTCATGATCTCAGGGTTGTGGGTTCGAGCTGCATTGGGCTCTGCACTGAGCATGGAGCCTGCTTAGGATTCTCTCTCTCTTTTTCTCCCTCTTTCTCTTTCTCTCTTTTCCTCTGCTCATGCTCTCTCTCTCTCTCTCTCTAAAATAAAATTGAAGAAAAGAAAGAAAGAAATGGCTTACAGACCGATTTTATCAAGATATGTTAGAGTATTTACTTTTAACAAGTTCAAGTTCCTGCTGGAGATATGTGGAATAAATATCTTTCCATCTATTTTGCTGCAAATCCCTGATGTATATTTCCTCATCATATGAAGTGACACAATTTAAGTTTATTTATTTTATAGCATTAGCAGATATTTATTGCAGAGATAAACAAAGATAATTAGCCCACCAAGAGTATCCAACCTCCCTGCCTGCTCTGGAAACAAATTTAGACAATTATTTAGATATCTCTTTAAAGCTGAATAAAAATGAAGAGAGCTAGAGTTTACAATAGTACATTAGTGTTTGTTGAAAGATACCCTATCTGCCCTGCCTTTAGTACTCAAATAAGTATGTATTTTTTGTCTTAATTCATATTAAACATTTATGAACATACATTTTCTTATAACCTGATTTTATGTCAGAATAGAACAGTATACGTTTATGAGCCTTGTATATGTAACAGGGTAATTTAATATTGCCAGCTCCTGTGCGACACAGTGGAGATCATGGGAAAAGACTGTTTATCATCAAACCTTCTGGATTCTATGACAGGCGTTTTTTGAGTTTAATGGTGAGTCAAAAATTTTGCGAAACTAAACTTTTTATATACAAATAGGAATATTTTTTTTTTTTGGCCTATTTAGAAAATAAGCATCTTTCATTTCGTAAAAGGTGTTGTTTCGTAAATTCACATTTCTTTTTTAAAAGATAATTGAGATTTTGTACTGTAATGTCTGATTTGTTACTGAATTTCTTTTTAAATTAGTGAGCTTTTCGTTCTTCATAAAAAAGGATTCGTATGTATTAGAGGTAAAAAAATGAGCCATTCCTTTATTCTCAAGATTGTGGGGTTTTGAAATGTAATCTGTGTTCACTGTGCATGCATGCGTGCATGCACACACCCACACACATACACTAAAGTCTATAAGTTATTAAACTTTGAAAATGGATTCATTTGGGGATAATTATTTATATTATTAAAATATTCTTTAAAATACCAAGGAACTCATTGAAAGACTTCCTTAAAGTAACTACATTATTTTGGACTACAATTTTTTATTTCTATATTGTTCAGGAACATTGATTTCAGAGGATGAAGTGGGGTACCAGCTATATATTTGTATCTCAAGGCTCTTTAAGGAAAAGTAGAGGCCTGGCAGATAGAAGATTGTCTGGATGCTGCCCTCTAGACCTCTTGCTCGCCCATTGTGCTCAATGCCCCTCTTCACTCTCCTGGTTGAGCTCCCACTTTTCTTGTCATGACCAACTCAAACTCTACAGTGGGTAACAACACCCAGATGTTTTTGCACTTCCCATCTTAATACAAAAATTTCTCAACTTTTATTACATCGCCTTAACCAAAAATGGGAAAATCACTTAAACATATATTGTATTACCCTTTTACAATTAATCCTTACTTTTTCTTTCATTTTTGCTTCCAAATATAGGCATCTAAAAGTTAGAGCAAAAGAAAACCTCGGAAATAAATACTTTGGTACCACATCTCCAATATGGCAAATTTATTTGACAGGCAATGGAAGGAAATCCAAAATTGAAGACAGTTATTTAAGAGTGGGGAAAGAAAGTTAGGTAATGGTTATGTTACGTGAAAACTATTTTTTAATCTCAACAGAAATTCTACATTTTGTTGACTGGGATTCCAGTAGCAATTGGCATAACTCTGGTGAATATATTCATTGGTAAGTACCTCTCCAACCAAACTGGTAAATTTTTAAAACCCATGTACATTAATAACAGAAGGAAATTATGAATGTTATAAGAAAATATTATTTAAATAATAAACATGAGATTTTATTTTACAGTAACCAGATCTCAATCTGCAACAGGGTACAATGTTGTTTTTTTAAAGATTTTTTTTCCCTTCAAGAACCTTGAAGGTCACCAACTCTGTACAGAGGCCACAAATGGCTTCAGAAAGCCTTGTTTTCCTCCTTCTTGTTATTTCTCCAAACCAGCTTTGACAAGTCTGAATAAAAAAAAATAAAAATAGAGATAGAGGTGGAAGAGAGGCTAAAGGATGGAAGAATTTTTTTATGCATCTTGGAACATGTAAAATTATAATCTAAAAAAGAATGAAACTGTGAATGACAGTGCAAATTAGATTTTCATGGGAAACTCTGCCCAAACTACTTCTAACATCTTGACTCCTAAAATATTTTGTCTAGTAGTGGTAGGGAAAACCAGAGGGAATAATGTGTCTTTTATTATATTTTGTTACGTTGTATAAAAACAATGTGAAACTCTCCTATCATGCCTTAGACAATAGACAATGCCTTACAAGTAGAAGACATCTAAAAAATACCTAATGAATGAAATTATTTTATTTTTTTAATTTTTTTTTATTTTTTTTTTCTAACGTTTATTTATTTTTGAGACAGAGAGAGACAGAGCATGAACGGGGGAGGAGCAGAGAGAGAGGGAGACACAGAATCGGAAACAGGCTCCAGGCTGTGAGCCATCAGCCCAGAGCCCGACGCGGGGCTCGAACTCACAGACCGCGAGACCGTGACCTGAGCTGAAGTCGGACGCTTAACCGACTGAGCCACCCAGGCGCCCCATGAATGAAATGATTTTAAACCACATTAAAGTTAATCTAAAATACAGGTGACCCTTGAACGACGTGTTGGTATCAACCCCTTGCTCAGTCAGAGATCCACATACAAGTTTTTGACTCCCCCAAAACTTAACTACTGATTGACCAGAAACCTTACTGATAACATAAACAGTTGGTTAACACATACTTTGTGTATTTTTTGTATTATACAAAGTATTCTTTGTATAAAGTGATAAAGAATTCTTGTGATAAAGTTAGCTAGAGAAAAGACAGTGTTATTAAAAAAATGATAAAGAAGGGCGCTTGGGTGGCTCAGTTGGTTAAGCGTCCAACTCTTGATTTCAGCTCTAGTTATCATCTCATGGTTCGAGTTCAAGCTTCATATCGGGCTCTGTGCTGAGTTGCAGAGCCTGCTTGGGATTCTCTGTCTCCCTCTCTCTCTGCTCCTCCCCTGCTCCCACACTCTCCTCTCAAATAAATAAACTTTAAAAAAAAAAGAGAGAGGGGCGCCTGGGTGGCTCAGTCGGTTAAGCGTCCGACTTCAGCCAGGTCACGATCTCCTGGTCCGGGAGTTCGAGCCCCGCATCGGGCTCTGGGCTGATGGCTCAGAGCCTGGAGCCTGTTTCCGATTCTGTGTCTCCCTCTCTCTATGCTCCTCCCCCGTTCATGCTCTGTCTCTCTCTGTCTCAAAAATAAATAAACGTTAAAAAAGATTTAAAAAAAAAAAAAAAGAAAATACAGTACTGTACTGTAAAAGAATCCACGTGTAAGTGACCCCATGCCATTCAAAACCATGTTGTTCAAGGGTCAACTGTATTTGATATCTTCATTAGTACAGAGCTTTCTTTAAAACCACAAGAGGTTGGTTTCTTAAATAGTGGGAAATTAATATTACAAACTGCTGATACTAATTGTACATCACTATTTTCTCTTATTAGGTGAGGCTGAGTTAGCAGAAATTCCAGAAGGCTATATCCCAGAACACTGGGAATACTTCAAGGTTGGTATAGGCCATTGAAAGTTAACTTTCCATTAGGTGCCTTGTCAGTGTACCGATTAATGTCTCAATTTAGCAATTATGATATATTCAATTTTTGGTGTGAGGGAGATGACACATTTTGTGCTCACTTTTTACAAGCAACTTCTTTTGGTCATTTGTTTTATTGCTTTATGCTGTATGGTTTTTTAAAGAATGACTCTGCAGTGCATTCTCATCCTAGCATATTAACCATCAGAACATATCCTAAGTTCAATGCCATAGGAAAGATTTTACCAATACTAATGCTTAGCTATTCTTTATCAAGCACCTACTGTGTAGCAGGGGCTGTGGTAGTGTTTTGTAAATATTACCATGTTCCATGTGAAATGTGCTATTATTACCCCCAATTCAGAGGTGAGGAGACTGAGGCATAAAAGAGGAGAAGTGACCTGTCCAAAAGGTAGGGCCAGTATTTGAACCTACGCAGGCTTGATCTGAGAGCCTGCACTGTCATTTTAGCACACTGTCCCTGCTACTAAAACAGCAGCGTCGGGCTGCTACGAAAGCAGCATCAGGTTCTGCACTGATGGTGCGGGGCCTGCTTGGGAATCTCTAAAGTTAATTCTGTTACGTGTCTTTATAAGTGTTGTGGTGAGATGGCCTTGAGTAGAGTATATTCTGTCATGTTTTATTATCTGACTGAACTATATTTCAGAAAAATATATCATTAATATAGCATTATTATATCTTAAGGCAAGCCATACAAATAGTTTATCTGTGCTGAGAGAAGGAGCTTCAGTTTTTCATCACCAAACCCTGGGTTTAGCTCTTAAATTAGCCACTTAAGATCCTCAGTGTAGTATAATGGCAAACGCACAGATTTTGGAGTCAGACAGACCCAGTTTGCATCCAGATCCTGGCACTTAGTAACTGTATAACTTTGCAAAATTTGCTCATCTATAAAATGGGGACAAAAATAATATCCACCTAATGGATTAAAGTAATTTAAAAAATATATAAAGTAGTTAGCATTTAGTTAGTATTATTGATTTACCTGAGATGGGCATTTTTTTAATATTAAATATAATTTATTATCAGATTGGTTTCCATACAACACCCAGTGTTCATCTCAACAGGTGTCCTTCTCAATGCCCAAGAGATGGCCATTTTGAGGAATAGTAAACTGAAAAAGCAAAGTAGTGTTCAGAAAATAATAAACAAATTTTCTCTTGTAGCATCCTATCTCAAGATGGATTGCCCGAACTTTCTTTGATAGTCCCGAAAAGAATTATGAAAAAACAATGGCTATCCTTCGAATTGAAGCTGAAAAGGCTGATTTACGGTAAAAAAGGGGAGGGGGGCAGGAAAGAAATTCCTTCCTTAGTATTGTAAGCCATAAGAAAAAAATTAAGCTGTTTCAACACTTTAGGATGCTCCATGTAAAACAATGAAGATGGGGATGGATCTGGCCTGTTTAGAGTGGAGTTTATGAGTTGGAAACTGAGACTATTGGTTGATAATATCTGTCAGAGTAAAAGGAATTCTTTTTAAAATATCTCACTCTTTTGGGGCGCCTGGGTGGCTCAGTCAGTTGAGTGTCCGACTTTGGCTCAGGTCTCATGATCTCACAGTTCATGGGTTTGAGCCCCACACTGGGCTCTGTGCTGACAGCTCAGAGCCTGGAGCCTGCTTCGGATTCTGTGTCTCCCTCTCTCTCTGCACCCAGCCGCACCCCCGCCCCCTGCCCCGGGCTCACTCTCTCTCACTCTCTCTCTCCAAAAAAGACACTAAAAAAAATTTTTTTTTTAATTCTTACTCTTTTAAATGCAGGGAAGCCCTCTCCTCCATCTATGCCCCACCTCCCTCAATTTCCTTTCCTCCTCTACCTAGTCTCATCCTTAAAAGTGACTATTTAATTATTTCTTATATATGTCCCTAGGAGAAAATTTATGCCTTAAAAATATATTTTGTATATCATTTGAAAATATATTAACACAAATAGAATCCTCTTATAGACACCGCTCTGTACCTTGCCTTCATTTCACTTAAATAGATCTTGGTGATCTTTCTATAATAGTACGTACCCTGTTCATTTTAATGGCTGCATTATATATTTTACTGGATGGGTGTACCTTAATTTTTTTAACCAGTCCCTTGTTGGTACTTTGGTTCTTTATAAGTTTTTTGATAATATACATAGTGCTGTAGTCAATATCCTTCTACATAGACTTCTGCATATTTATTTAGTATATCTGGAATATAAATTTCCTAGCAGTGGCACTGATAAACCAAATGTTATATGTTTAGATTTTAGATAGATGTTGCCAAACACTTTCCCAAAACATTGTTTATCAGTTGTTTTTTCTGTCACCAATACATGATAATTTCTGCTTTCCATACCATTCCCTGTAAATGGAATTTATCAAGCCTAAACATTTTGCTGATAAGATAGTTGAAACATGTTATTTCATTATTTCAATTTTGTATTTTTTTGTAAGGTTGAGTATTTTTTCACAAAAAAATCTACTAGCTGTATTTGCTTTCCTGTAAATGGCCTTTTTTTCTACTAATGTATACATTTAACTAAAATATCTTTTTGTTTGTGTTGCAAGTATGTTTTCCTGACTTGTCATTTGTGTTTTGATAATGTAAAATTTTTTGCAGCCTAAGTGTTTTTATGTTTCAGGTTAACAGAAGTGTAGTAGTGGTAATGTGTTTCTGAACACTTACTATGTATCAGTGTTTTAATTACTTATATATATTTACTCATTTAATTATTGTCAAGTTTGTCAGTCCTTTTCCTTAGCTTTTGGGATTTTGTGTCATGCACAGGTTTTTGATAGTAATTAAATAGGGAAATATTTAAGTCCAAATTATTATTTTTTTTAATGTTCACTCATGGTTCCTTTTGCTACTTTTAAATGTGATCCTGTCTGAGATTTATTTTAGTGTTTGTAGTGAGGTTTACATACAGTCATATGCATCCATTAAGTTCAGTGGGTTTTGACCAAGGAAAATAGCTGTGTAACCATCTCAATCACCTACTGAGCCTCTTTCTTGTGCCTTCAGTCATTCCCCATCCCCTACTCTTGGTCCCAGTCTACCACTGATCTGCTTTCTGTTATTCTCTTTTAAACTTAATAGTTTATAAAAATTGCTATGATAGTAAAAAATATATATATATATTTAAATGATTAAAAGAACTAGATATGTAATCATACATGTATATAGTTACCATATGGAATTGTTATGTATTTAAGAGCATGGAACCAGCAATATGGCTCATACTTAGTAACATTGGACTTTTTTGAACCTCAGACATACACCTTTGAGTTCCAATTAAAAGTTAGATCCTAGAATTCCTTAGACATATAGAGATTTTAAATAATTTCCAAACAAAGTAAAAACCAAAACAAAAGCATGACTTCTACCCCCAAAGGAAAGATGCTGTTGTGAGGATGGAACAGGAGTACCTATGTTTTTAAAAAAGTATATGTTTAGGTGAGCGCCTGGGTGGCTCAGTTGGTTAAGCGTCAGATTCTTGATTTTGGCTCAGGTCATGATGTCACGGTTCACGGGTTTGAGCCCCACGTTGGGCTCTGCACTGATAGCATCGGGCCTGCTTGGGATTCTCTCTTCCCCTCCTCTGCTCATGCTGTCTCTCTCAAAAATAAGTAAACATTAAAAAAAATTTTTTTAAGTATATGTATAGGTATTTGGAAAACTGAAGCATAAAAGAAAGATACAAAATAGAAAGGGACTGTCTCCCATAATTGTTTCTGCCTAAAGATAACTATTATTTTTTGCCCTCCACATTTTTTAATACTCTCTGCATGTGTATGAATACATATTAGTTTCTGGTTTTTAGTGAAATGGGAAGATGCTACACATATTCATTTTATACTTTGCATTTTTAAGCTAACCCTATATGTATCATCTCTATTTACTATATACAGATTTTCTTCATTCTTTTTTTTTTTTTTAATTTTTTTTTCAACATTTATTTATTTTTTGGGACAGAGAGAGACAGAGCATGAACAGGGGAGGGGCAGAGAGAGAGGGAGACACAGAATTGGAAACAGGCTCCAGGCTCTGAGCCATCAGCCCAGAGCCCAACGCGGGGCTCAAACTCACGGACCGCGAGATCGTGACCTGGCTGAAGTCAGACGCTTAACCGACTGCGCCACCCAGGCGCCCCTTCTTCATTCTTTTTAACAGGTGCCTAGTAGTCTATTGTAAGGGTAAAACCAGTCCTCCTTATGAATATTTTAATATTTGCATTTTGGATAATTACATTCTAAAGAGTAGAAAAAAAGGATAATATAATATATAATCCTTAAAAAAAAAGAATACACTCTCTTACATACACAATACAAAGGTAGGTAGTCTCTCATAGGTAGGGTTAGCGGGCTGGTTAAGGTTAATAAAGTGCATTATTTAACTGTGATAAATTTCCAGTCAGATGAAAAACTTAATATGTAGTCTATAAAAATGGAAAGGAAAGGTTTCGTGGAAAGGGCCTATTTCAAAAATATGTGGTCTCAAGAGGGTTTTCTAGAAGGCAAGAAGATAGGAGATGCATTACCACTATTCAAGTGAAAGTGATCCATCCAGATAAAGAGCTGGGACAAGAGGAAAGAATAGATTACCAATTCAAGTGATGTTTTAGTGATTAAAAACAGTATCTGTGGGCTAACTACATAAGCAAGATAATGAAAGTCAAAAATAAGCTCCAAATTTTTCTTATAGGTGCATATCAGATAAATGTATACACATGGATCTGTGGAGGTATATTAATACTTTACATACATACATACATAAATTTATTTATTTATTTAGAGAGAAAGAGCGTATGTGTGAGCATGGGAGGAGCAGAGGGAGAGAGAATTTGAAGAAGAATTTGAAGAATAGTCAGTTCAGAGCCTGATACGAGACTTGCTCCCCTGACCCTGGGATCATGACCTGAGCTGAAATCAAGAGTCAGATGCCCAAACGACTGAGTCATCCTGGTGTCCCTTACATAAAGTACTTTAGATAATACTTTACACAAAATCAAAAGACTCTCTTTATGGAGATAATTCATTAATTTTGCAGTTGGAAATGATGGAATCACAGTATTGCTGTTCTGTTTGTTACAGATTAAAGGAGCTAGAAGTCCGAAAGTTAATGCGTGCAAGAGGCGATGGTCCCTGGTATCAGTATCCAACCATTGACAAGGCGCTGATTGATCATTCTCCAAAAGCAACTCCTGACAACTAATCCTTTGTTTCTCTAAATACAAAATATATTCTCTTTAGGGGAAAATTAATTAATACATTCTGTATTTTTTGTTCACGTGATGAATAAAAGATCTCCATTGCTTTTTTTCTCAGCATTGGTTGAGATTAAAATTTTGTGTGGGATTTTAATTTTTTTCAGTTTTATTGAGGCATAATTGACAAAATTGCAAGACATTTGAAGTGTACATTATGATGATTTGGTATACACTGTGAAAGGCAGATTAAGACTTGATTTGTGGGTTTTGCTTCCTCTAAGGTTTATCATATAATAAAAAAAAAACTTGGACAAATAGAAATTTACGAACTACTAATGGTGTAACTTTAAAAGTCTAATGTTTTAATTGATAATTAGAAATTACAGAAGTCTAATTATGTTAAATATCGGGAAATCTAGTAGTTTGCATACATATCTGTATTGTAGATATCTAGATTATTCAGAGGCAATTCAGAATTTTAAAGTACGTATATTGAACTAACAATATAACATAATGACACCTTTTTTTTTTTTTCAGTATATGAAGTTTATTGTCAAATTGGTTTCCATACAACACCCAGTGCTCATCCCAAAAGGGGCCCTCCTCAATACCCATCACCCACCCTCCCCTCCCTCCCACCCCCCATCAACCCTCAGTTTGTTCTCAGTTTTTAAGAGTCTCTTATGCTTTGGCTCTCTCCCACTCTAACCTCTTTTTTTTTTTTTTTTTTTCCTTCCCCTCCCCCATGGGTTTCTGAGAGTGAAACCATATGGTATCTGTCTTTCTCTGTATGGCTTATTTCTCTTAGCATAACACTCTCCAGTTCCATCCATGTTGCTACAAAGGGCCATATTTCATTCTTTCTCATTGCCACGTAGTACTCCATTGTGTATATAAACCACAATTTCTTTATCCATTCATCAGTTGATGGACATTTAGGCTCTTTCCATAATTTGGCTATTGTTGAGAGTGCTGCTATAAACATTGGGGTACAAGTGCCCCTATGCATCAGTACTCCTGTATCCCTTGGGTAAATTCCTAGCAGTGCTATTGCTGGGTCATAGGGTAGGTCTATTTTTAATTTTTTGAGGAACCTCCACACTGTTTTCCAGAGTGGCTGCACCAATTTGCATTCCCACCAACAGTGCAAGAGGGTTCCCATTTCTCCACATCCTCTCTAGCATCTATAGTCTCCTGATTTGTTCATTTGGTATGCTGAAAACTATAGAAAGCTTATGAAGGAAATTGAAGAAGATTTAAAGAAATGGAAAAACATTCCGTGCTCATGGATTGGAAGAATAAATATTGTCAAAATGTCAATACTACCCAAAGCTATCTACACATTTAATGACACCTTAATAAACAGTTTTTCAGTGAATAAATCTGTTTAATATTTTCATGTTTTTTGGCCATAAACTGTTTTTTTGTCATTAAAGTGATTTTTATTGAAGTACAGTTGACACACAATGTTACATTAGTTTCAGATGTAGTATAATATTGTGCTTTTTATTTTTATTATGTTTGTTTATTTTTGAGAGAGAGAGAAACAGAGTATGAGCAAGGGAGGGGCAGAGACAGATGGAGATACAGAATCTGAAGCAGGCTCCAGGCTCTGAGCTGTCAGCACAGAGCCTGACACGGGGCTCAAACCCAGGAGCTGTGAGATCATGACCTGAGCCGAAGTCAGATGCTTAACTGGCTGAGCCACTCAGGTGCCCCTATGTTGTTCTTTTTAAATGCACAGAGATGTGCACATCTTTTGCTTAGATGCAATCTCTTTAAGATTCTTAGAGTCCTTTTTTTGTAAACATGAGATGTTCCACAAGGTAAAATGATTACTTGCCAAGATTATAAAATGTGAGTAAAGGCTAAAATAATGGTTGTCATGTGTTAAGCATTTACTGTTGGTTGAGCACTATGCTAAATGACTGCATTTTCACATTAATTTCAAAATCACCTTATGAGGTACTATCACTTTATGTTTTACAGATGAGAGATTGAGGCTCAGATTTTAAACACATATTCAATATTTACAAAAATCAATATTTACACTTCAACTTCCAGAATGACCTCTAGCTTCAAAAGTCCATATTTTCAGGAAATATCTTTTCAGTGCCCTGATGCCCTGAAGGCACTTAATGCCCTTTACAATCCAGCCAAGATCCTCTGGAGTAGCTGTGTTTTCTTATTTACCCAGCAGAGGGCTGCCTCACCTAGCTACTTCCAAATTTCATTCTGAAGGTTTCCCCGTGCGGTCTACTTACCACCTCGTTTTTGTTTTTTTTTTTTTTTTTATGTTTATTTTTGAGAGAGAGAAAGCGAGTAGAGGAGGGGCAGAGAGAGAGGGAGACACAGATCTGAAACAGGCTTCAGGCTCTGTGCTGACAGTTCAGGGCTCGAGCTCACGAACGGTGAGATCATGACCTGAGACAAGTCACTCCTTAACCGACAGAGTCACCTAGGCACCCCAACCACTTCATATTTTTAACAAAGGATTTGAGAGAAGGGTATGCTGTCCCTAAGCCTCTGTTTGCATGAATCATTCAGTTTTGTAGGAGAGGGTAAGGAGAATGGAAGAATATAGGTCTTGAGTATGATAATTGTACATGATGCTATATGCACATTTACGTTCATATTTTTTAGACTTTACAGGTTATTTTCTGTCATCATTAGGTTTTACTTTATATTCTATTTTCTACTAATATAGATGTAAGAAACACAACATAGAAAAATGGAAAGTATTATAAAAAATACTATTAATCCCACCACCCATAAAGAAATTTGAGAAATTTCTTTCAGTTTTTATTTTTTACCATAGCCGGGATCATATATAATAGGGTTTTTTGGGGTGTGTGTATGTGTGTGTGTGTGTGTGTGTGTTTTAAGGTTTTTAAGTGTTTCTTGAAGGTAAATATTAATATAAAGCTAGAATATATGTGTTTATACTGATTTTTATGCATTTTTTTTCTAATTCAAATATTTAAGCTTATTGGTCACTATGATACATACAAGGGATAAAGTGGTCATCGCAGTAAACATGTTTCCTCCCCACAGTTTAGTTTACTCTTTAGCATAGATGGTAGACCTCAAAGCAGAAATAATTCTATGCATTGGGTTTGATAGGAAGAAAAGGGCACTGTAGCAACCTGTGGGATCCCAAGCTAGCCTGAGTGTACATGGAATGATTGTAAGCTCATTTCATAGCATCTGGAACATAGTAAACAACTGAGTAAAGATCTGTTGAGTGGATGATACATGGAATTACTATTGTTTGGGGTTATCTATCTTTTTTCTTCTGCAATTCTGCAGAGCCCAGCATGGTGTTACACAAAGGCATGGACCTGCTTGGATTGAGCAGACCTCAGACTAAATCCTGAGTTGCTAATTACTAGGCCAATAATGATGACTACCATCTACTTGGTATCTGCTACACGTGCCAGGCACTACACTAGGAATTTAAAAATTTTTAAAAATGTTTATTTATCTTAGAGAGAGAGAGAGAGGGAGACACAGAATCCGAAGCAGGCTCCAGGCTCTGAGCTGTCAGCACAGAGCCTGACATGGGGCTCAAACCCACGAACCATGAGATCATGACCTAAGCCGAAGTTGGATGCATAACCAACTGAGCCACCCAGACACCCCAACACTAGGAATTTTATATTTAATCTTCCCTTCTGTCTTACATTGGGAAATTTCCTTCACTGCTTTGAGCCCTGTCTCTAAAAGAGATTATGTTCTTCATCCCCCGGTACTGTTGTATAGATTACTGGGACAATGTATGTAAAGTGCCTACTACACCAGTAAATAATAGGTGATAAAGACTTATGTCTGCCAACTAAAGATTGAAATGGTCCACTCCCTTTTCAAGAAAATTATTAAATATCCCATACTATCTCTGCTTCAGGCCTACTGACTTCAAAGAATAATGGAGTTAAAGAGAGACTAAAGCCAATAGGCAATGTTTTTGACACTAGTTCCAAATCATGGGAAAAGTTCAAATTTTACAGTGTAAATGTACCAAATTTTACAATGTAATTTAACCAATACTGTTCTTGTAGAAACAAATAAACTCTGCTGGAGATCAAAAAAGAGTTTGCAGTAAATTCCTGAGCCCAATCCCTTTCCTTATGTCACTATTTTTCAAATTTCAGTGCTTGATTTTAACCATTTCTATTTTGCCTCCACATATGATATATGGTTATTCTCTTTAACCTTGACCTTTTTAAACTAAGTTTGAAAGAAGAAATGTTATGTCATGACTATGAACAGAAAATCAGCCCCTTGTCATAATTAAAAAGTAATCACAGATATAACTATTATATTCCACCTAGATTCTGTTGCCTGAGACCTGGCTCTCTCTCTGTTGAAAATGGAGAATTCTAAAAGGAAATTAGTGGTGTTAAAACATACCAGTACCAAATCGAGACTTTCTTTTATGTAATCAAATGGAGAATTGAAAAAGCAATAATTCAGTCATGATATGATGAATTATTATATCCTCCAGGAACATGTCCACTTTTTTTTTGCTTTTATATTATTTTTTAGTGAAAAATAACTGACACAATATCATAGGAGTTTCAGGTGTATAACAGTAATTCAATATTCATATACATTATGAAATGGTCACCACAATAAGTCTAGTTATCATCTATCACCATTTAAAGCAGTTACAGTATTGTTGACGATATTCCTTGTGCTGTACATGACAACCCTGTGTCTTATTTAGGACTGTTAGTTTGTACTTCTTAATCCTCTTCACCTATTTTGTCCATCCCCCTAATGCCCTTCCCTCTGGCAACCATCAGTTTGTTCTTTGTATCTATGAGTCAGTTTCTGTTTTGTTTGTTTTGTTTTTTAGATTCCACATATAAGTGAAGCCATATGTTATTTCTCTCTTCTGATTTATTTATTTCATTTAACATAATACTCTCTGGGTCCATCCATGTTGTCACAAATGGCAAGAATTCATTCTTTTTTATGGCTGAGTAATATTCCATTGCATATAAATGTCACATTTGCTTTATCCATTCATCCATGGACATTTAGGTTGTTTCCATATCCATATCTTGGCTATTGTAAATAATGCTGTGATGAACATAGTAATGCATATTTCTTTTCAAATTAGTGTTTTCATTTTCTTTGGATAAGTACTTAGAAGTGGAATTGCTGGATTGTATGGTAGTTCTACATATGCTCACATTTTGCAAATATTTGTATGTTTCATTAAGATGGAAGTACCATTGACATTGGAAAATATGGAAATAAATATCCTCTCATGCATCAATTATAACTAACCTTAATTCACATTTTG